TTACTGATCTCTCCATTCCTTGGGGGTGACTCTGCCAACAGGGGAAAGGTTCCATTCTATTCCAATTTGTGTTGCTGTATAGGTCCATGCAGCAATACAGAATGTGACTCCACCAACTAATATAGTATTACCATATTTGTCATGGAAATCAGGTGTACGTTTCTGGTGGCTCTGCCTTGTTACCATTTGTTGAATGCTTCGCATTGGAAAACGACCTAATGCGTTTTTGGCCAAGGGAAACATCGTGGAGTTGAAGTTGAAACCGTAGTTACTGCAGCTGCCGGCTGGGTGCAAATTACTTCCAGATCCTTTTTGTGATCTTTTATTTTTCCTTCTTCATATTAACACTTTCTCTTGCTTCTTGGACCTATAAAATGAGAAACACCACTTGCAGATGGATGGTCTGTGCTGAGGAAATTTCCCATATGTTGTGCATCAAGAGATCAAGAGTAGGGTTTCATAATGCTTCCTTGATTTCCAAGATGATGATGATGATGATGATGATGATGATGATGATGATGATGATGATTTAAATGTATGTATTTGGTACAGGGTCTCCCTGTGCAGCCTAGACTTGTAGTGATCCTCCTGTTTTTAGCTCCACAGCACTGGGGTTATAGGCGAGCACCCCTACACCCGACTTCAGCGCAGGGATCGACCTGGGGATCAAGCCCTGGTCCCTGCACTTGGCTAAGCAGGTGCTTAGTCCACTGAGCTATCTTGCCGGCCTGATTTCCAAGATTATTATTTTTGGGGGCCTGCCCCTTAGCTCAGTTCTTTAAGTGGCTGCTTCCACAAAGCAGTCAGGCTCAGGTTGCTGTGGTTCGATCCCTACAACTCAAGCCAGCCAAACCTGCCCTGAAGGCATTCGGAGCAAAAAAAAAAAAAACACCCTTATTCCAAGATTACTATTTTTGTGTTGAGACAAGGTCTCCCTATAACTCAGGCCAACCTGAACTCACTACGTCATCCTGACTGCTTCAAACTTAAGTCTTCTGCCTCAGTCTCTTGAGTGCTGGATTATACATGTGTACTACCACATCTGACTCAAAGTCTTTCTCTTACTTTGTCAAATCTCTTTTTTTTTGGGGGGGGGTGTGGGTTGCAGGTTCTGGGAATTGAACTCAGGTGCTGTGCCACTGAGCTATTTCCCTGGCCCCTAAATAGTTTTTAATTTGTTTCCCCTTCAGTGCTGAGTATTAAACCCAGGCTTTTATGCATGGTAGGCACATGTTCTACCACTGTGCTACATCCCCCGCACAATATATATAAACTTTGAGACAGGATCTCATTAAGTTGCCCAGGCTGCCTTCAAACTTTCATTTCTCCTCTGGAGTAACTGGGGTTGCACTCATCTTGAAATTTTTAAAAATTGAATTATTAGTATATTCTACCCATAAAAACTATTAACTTATTTCAATGTAAATATTTCTAAATGAGAAACCCTAGGGACATTCACTTTTTGATTTAATTTGTTCATCTAATTCCTATGATGGCTCAGAATTGACCGAACAGATTCTATAAGCCTGATGTTTTAAAATAATTATACCTTGACAATGGCTTGTGAAATGTTTTCCTGCTTCCCTTTAACAATCATTGTCCCTGGGCTGGTGAGATGTCTCAGTGGTCTAAAGCATCTACTTAGAACAAGCTTGGCAAAGCACAGGGACCGCGGTTCAATCCCCCAGCACCACATGCCAGCCAGCCCCGCCCCCTGGTGGGCTGAGCAGGCCACACACACATAAATAAATAAAATTTATTTTTTAATTTTTATTTATTTGTGTGTGTGTGTGTGTGTGTGTGGCCACCTCAGCCCACCAGGGGGCGGGGCTGGCTGGCATGTGGTGCTGGGGGATTGAACCGCGGTCCCTGTGCTTTGCTGAGCTTGTTCCAAGTAGGTGCTGTAGACCACTGAGCCATCTCACCAGCCCCATAAATAAAATTTAAAAAAACAAAACAATCCTTGTCCCTCTTCTCTGTTACTACTGCTCTCCCTCTCAGGGTGGTTCCGAGTGTTATCTGCACATTAGAGTCACCTAGGGAGCTTGGAGCACATTCAAATTCCCAGAACAAACCAGAATCTGTGGCGGTAAGGCCCAGCATGAGTATGTTCAGGAGCTTCCCAAGGGACTCTTGAGAGCTACTGTCAGGGCTGACAAATGGGTACTGGCATGCCACAGCCAGGTACAGCTTTGAGCAGTGGCCATGCATTAGTCAGATGATGGAAGCATTTGCCTTTGTTTTCTTAGTACTGGACCTAGAGCCTTATGCATGCTAGCCAAGGACTCTACTCTTGACCTACATCCCCAGTGCGCCTTTTTTGGTGTAAAATTTTACAGTATTTGTCCAGGCTGGTCTCAAATTTGCTATCTTCCTATCCTATCCTCCTGTGTAGCTGGGATTACAGGATTGTGCAGCTACCCCCCAGGAAAGGAATCTTTCTTTAGGAAACTGATAATCTGACACAAGAAGCAGAATTTAAGAATAAACTCATTTGGGGGCTGGGGAGCTGGCTCAGTGGAATAAGCACTTGCCTAGCAAGCGCAGTGGCCTGAGTTCAATCCCCGTTCCACAAAAATAAATAAATAAATAAATAAACAAACAAACTCATTAAACTGCAGCAGCAGCAGCACCAACACAGTGGTCAGTTGCTGAGGGCTGAGTAATTGGAGGAAAAGACTGCTCAGCACTCACCTCCTTGCCTGACATGTAGGTGCTTTGCAGAGCTGGGTGTTTGGGCCCAAGCATTACTGGGGCTTTCTGTTCTGTTGCCTACCACAAATAAAGAACATTTTTTCAGTTTTATTTTTGGATAGAAAATACATTTATATGGTTCAGAATTGAACATATGTGAGAGTGTAGAGGGAAAAAACATCTCCCTTCCCTCCTTGATCTCTGACCACAAGTGTCCTCACCCTAGAGGCAAGTTAAGTTCCAGTCAGAATATGTAGACAGAATAAGCAGATGTCTGTGGGTTAGCATGTATATGTGTCTATGGGTATTCTTTCCCCCTGTTGTATATGTGCTCCCACAGACCCAAATCACTATTCTTTTGACTATTCCATTAATGTAGAAAGAGCTCTCCTGGTTTTGCTGTGTAGTATTCCACTGTATGCATGATCTCCAAAATTTTATCAGTCTCACCTCTGTATATTTAAGTATTTCTGTCTTTTTGTCTTTCTTCCTTCCTTCCTCTAACTTTCTCTCCCTTTCTTTTGGGTGTGGTTCTGGGGATTGAGCCCAGGCTTCATGCATGCTAAGTAAGTGAAGTGCATCCCTTGGGCCTGTTTCCATCTTCTGATATTACAGATAATACTGTAGTGAGGAACACTGAACTTGTTACCTAATAGCATTTTGCACCTGTCCTCCAGGCTGGCTGCTGGCTCTACCAGGTTCTGTGCTGGCATCCTGAGCACTGCCAGGCACTTGACCATCGAGCAGAAGATGGCAGACTACTCAAACAAACTCTACCAGCAACTAGAGCAAGAAACGGGGATCCAAACAGGTAAGCAGGTGTTTACTGCTCCACCTGGCCCAAACTCTTCAGTATTTAAGATGTCTGGGTCTGGTCTTATATCAGCTCTGCCTGTGGTTTGGTCCCTAAGACCTGGGTTTTAGTTCAGAATGCCACAAGCCAGGGTCTTGCCATGGACAGGTCACATAGGTTGCTGAACTGTCTCCAGTTTCCTTGTCTATAAAATGAGGGAATCTGGGCCAGGGTGTAGCTCAGCAGCACAGTACCTGCTTGGCAAGCACAAGGTTCTATGTTTGATTCCCAGTTCCAAAACAAAAAGAGAGAGAATCAGATCTTTTTCAGATCCTATAATTCTTTTTTTTTTCCTTGGTGCTGGGGATGGAACCAGAGCCTCCAGCTCCTATAATTCCTGGGCCACTTCCTATGTATTTTACTCATTTAAGTATAGAAAATGGCAACATTTAGTTCCTAAGCAAGGAGGAGAACTTAAGGTATTTGACAGTTAAGTCATAGTTCAACCCACTGAAGTTCCAATTACCGTTATAAAACACAGACATGTTTTTTGTTATTTATGTAGTTAGAAGGGAAAGGGCAAAGAAAATTACTATAAGCTTAATAGCACTGGAATACATAGGAACTATTTCAAGAATAGCAATGCTAATCAGTAATGTAACTCCATTTGATAGCAAAAGGAAAGAGGGTCTGCCAGAAGGCAGAGCCACGCCCCTGGCCACTTTGCCTTGCCTCCCCTCCTCCCTGCCCTCTGGAGGTGGCATCAGAGGAAGCCCTGTGGTATCACTGAATTTGGTTTGGCTTCTTCCTAAGACAAGAACTCTGGAGAAAACTTAGTAAAAGTAGTTCTGTTGGATTGTCTGAGTCTTTGGAGAAGATGCCTGCTACATCTTGGGCAGGAGGAAAATACTCCCTTTTTGGTTAGGTCTAGTTTGATAGCAACAGGGTGCTTGAATTATTATATCAAGCAGGGTTTGAGCTGGAAGCGTGCCACAGAATGGCCTTTTCTAGTGTTGCAAAGTGCCCATCCCACTGAGCAGTATCACTAGCCTAGGAAAGGCCTTTCTTTTACAGATAAAGAGACCTAAATGCAGGAATATTAAACTGATGGATCAAGCTTTCTCCTTTTCTTTCTCTTTCCTTCTTTCCTTCCTTCCTACCTTCCTACATTAATTTTTTCTTTTTCTTTTTTTGTACCAGGGATGGAACCCAGATGCACTTACTAGGCAGGCAGTTATGCCACTGAGCTATCTCCCGTGCCTTGAACTCCCTTCTGTAGCCCATGCTGGTCTTGAACTCACAATAATCCTCCTGTCTCCACCTCCTGAGTGGATTATAGGTGTGTGCCACCAGTCCCAGCACACTGATTTTTCAATTGGGTGAAAAATTGACTTTAAAAGTTATTTTATGGGTAATTTAAAAAAATTTAAACACAGGGGGCCAGAGAGATGGCTCAGTGGAATAAACACTTCCCTGGCAAGCACAAGGGCCTGAGTTCAATCCCCAGTTCCACAAAAAAAAAAATTTAAATACACCAAGTCTTTGTGATACATGCCTATAATCTAAGCACGTAGGAGGCAGAGACAGGAAGATTATGAACTCAGGTTCTGCTTAGACTGTAGTGAGACCCTGTCTCAAAAAAACCCTCAAAAATAAAAATATTAAATATATATGTTATGCTATAATAAATACATTGTAATACATGTATACTTATGTAACATTATCATCTGTGTAATATACATTGTAATGTGAACAATTCAGACATAAAAATTAGAAACTTTTTCCTTACTGAATATCCACCAAAAGACTACCATCCTGGTTGGTACTTTGTTGAACTTCTTTTTTTTTTTTTTTTTATAACAGCACTTTTTATTAATTTTATTGAGAAATAGCAATGAGACAGTTTCAAAACAGTTCACTTCTTTCTTTGTCTATCTTTCCATCTCTTTCTCTTCTCGCCCTTCCTTCATTTCCTTCCCTTCTTTGCAGTAATAGGAATTGAACCTAAGGCCCTTCGCACTGAGATGTATCTCCAGCCATTATTATTATTATTATTATTATTATTATTATTATTATTATTTATTTGGTATTTTTTGAGACAGGGTCTGGCTGTGCAGTTTAGGTTGGCCTTCAGCTTACTTTGTAGCCAAGGCTGGTCTGAACGCACAATAGTCCTCCTGCCTCAGCCTCCCAAGTGCTGGGATTACAGGTGTGTGTCATGACACCCTGCCAGCTATTCTTTCTATTTTTAAAATTTGAGACAAGGTCTTGCTAAATTGCCAAGGTTTGAGGGCCTTGCCTGATAGATAGTTCAGTTGTTTAAAATACTGCTTAGGCAAGTGCAGTCAGGTGCATAAGTCTGTGGTTCGATTCCCAACTCCAGAAGCTCCACTAGACCCGTCCTTAAGGCAGCCTGATGAAAAAAAAAAAAAAAAAATTCTTCTCAAATTTTAGACTGGGCATAGTGGTGTACACCTGTAATCCCAGCATGTGGGAGGCTATAAAGAGGAGGATCACTATGAGTCCAATCTACGCAGTGAGACCCTATAGACCCTGTAGCCCCTGCCCTCACAAAAAAAAAAAAAAAAATTGCCAAGGTTCTTCCTTGGGCGTACCCACAGTGGTGGAATTATAGTCATATGCCATCATACTTGGCTTCTTTTTTTATTTATCTTATATAGGTTTTTTTTAAAAACTAAAATGTATTAATGATGCTGTTATAGATCTCATTTTTTCTACCTAATGTTTTATGCAAAAATATAAATGCAGACTATTATAGCATTTAATTATATGTGTAAGGCTACATTAGTTCATAAAGTGGTACGTTGCACACAAGACTAGCAGGTAAGTTAAAAAAAAAAAGAGTGTCTCTGAATTACCACGGTATGATTTCTGTGACACTGTTAAATGAGGAAAAAAATAAAACAAGGAGTTAGGGTGTATTTAGTGGGGTTCAATTCCCTAGTACCACAGCCCTCACCCCATAACATGACAAGTGTCCATGGAGGATAAAGCCGAAGCTACGTAAAGAAATGACTGGCCAGGGCAAAGAAGTGTGGAGTAATGAGCCTGGAATGTCTTGGGGTGCCAGGATGTAAACAAGTGGTGGGGACATGGCAGAGGTTCAGAGGGGCTGCAGGAAGGGACTCGGTGGGCAAGTCTGGGACGATCAGAGCAAGGAAATAGGTGAGAGCAGTGGATCACCACACTTTAGGGAATCCACAAGTCCATATTGATAAAAACTACATTAGGAAGATGGCAGAACGATAACCTCTATCTTAGTAATCATTTCAAGCAAGAATTACCATTTTAAAATGCCCAGTCCTCTCTGCAGGACCATTTTTGATTGACATCATAGCAAAAGTTGTGTGCAGCCCATCAAGCTGGCTGAGGTCCTCAAATTGCTAGGCAGGACCAGCTCGCAGGGACGGCACACCCAGGTGCACGTGGGATTCATGGACAATGCTGGCTGCTCCATCATAGGCAGCATGACGGCCCGTGCATGAAAACAACAAGCTCACCTTGTTGGAGTCAGTGGGAAGCCCTGAGATTGTGCAGAACTTGGCTGCTGAGCCAAGCTGCCAGGTTTGGATTACGGCTCTGCCAAGTCCATGTTGGACTTGGAAGCTACGATGTGAAAGGAGTGCCTATACCACCAGCAGAGGCTAGGAGGAGGGTAGGAGGCAAATTCTCCCTCTGCATGCCCAAGAAGGAACCAACCCTGAGACGGACACCTGAGTTTCAGACTCCTAAACTGACATTTCCTTTGTGTTCAGCCACCCACATGGTGACACTTTTTATAGCAGTCCCAAGAAATGGCTGTAGCCTGGCCAGTACTGCTCAGTCTTCAAAACTAGAAAAGAACATGAGTGCAGCCTCCTCTGGGGTCAGCTCTGTTGGGACCATGTGTCACTGGAGTGGCTGGGGTCTCTCGTTTTATTTTTGAGCAGGTGTTTGGCTGTGCAAGCTTCACAGTGAGGAGAGATGACTTGGGAAAGCGAATGGTGGGATGGGATCTGGCCGGGTCATGGAGCAGTCATCTTGGAAAGGGGGGTCAAGATGAGGGAATGTGTAAAAGGGTTAAGGGAGAGGTATCAGAAGGTGGGGTCTGCTGGGGTGTGGCTTATAGTAGAACATATTTCTAGAATATACAGGGCTGTCATTTGATCCTTAGCATTACAAAAAATAAAATTAACCAGGCATAATGGTGTCCACCTGTAACCTCAACACTCCAGAGGCTAAGATAGGGGGAATCACCAGTTCCAAGCCAGCTTGGACTGTAGAGTGAGACCCTATCCCAATACTACAAATTTTAAAAAAAGGTTTTTTTAAACAGTGCACAATAATAAGAGCTTGCCTGGCAAGCACAAGGTCCTGAGTTCAATGCCCAGTACTGGGGAAAAAAAAAAGTGCACAATAACTGGGTGTAGTGCTGCATGCCTGTAATCACAGCACTTGAGAGGCTGAGGTAGGAGGGTTGCTGTGAGTTTGAGGCCAGCCTGGGCTACAAAGTGAGTTCAAGGCCTAGGTCTGGCTAACCTACATGGCAAGGCCCTGCCTCAAAACAGAAAACAAGCTGAGCCTGGTGGTACAGGGCTGTGAACCCACAAGTTTGAACCTAGCCCAAGCAGCTTAGTGACTTAATGAGACCCTGTCTCAAAAGTTAAAAAGGGGGAGCCGGGGAGATGGCTCAGTGGAATAAGTGCTTCCCTGGCAAGCTCAAGGGTCTGAGTTCAATCCCTGGTTCCGGAAAAAAAAAAAAAAAAGTTAAAAAGGGGGCTGGAGAATAAGTGCTTCCCTGGCAAGCACAGGGTCCTGAGTTCAATCCCTGGTACTACCAAAAAAAAAAAAAAAGTTTAAAAAGCTTAAGGAGTATACTTCAGTGCAAAGGCCCTGGGCATAGTTCCCAATATGGATGGAAGGAGGTGGGGGAGAAGGTCAACAAAGAAAAATAAATAATTGTTTCATGCTGAAGATAAAGTGAAAGGACAACTGAACATGTGCCTGATCATATGCTGGATCCTGGACTGAAGCCATAAAAAGCTGTAAAGGACATTATTAGGACAGTTAATGAAATCTAAATATGGATTGTGACTTAGATAATGTGTTGTTGAGCAATACAGTATACAGTAAGGCCCTGACTTAACACATGTTTCAAGTTGTAAAATTTCACAGATACAAACAGACCTCACATTACAAATGTGTAGATGTGATTTGTGATGTGAACAAATCATGGAAGGAACTCCTGTGTCTGCAAACATTGTCACAATTGTGCTGCTGTGTGCTCACTGTACAGTGCAGTAGTCAGAGCCCATGATGTCCAGAAGCCAGAGGAAAAGCTGTGGTGATGTGGAGGGGATTACTAGGAAGCACAAAGCAGTATACATTGTATATTTGTGTCAAGATGTGTAAGTGGACTGTTGAACTTACAACTGTGTTGAAAGTTACCCAACTTAACATTGTTGTGGAATGGAACTTGTTCATAGATCAAAGACTTAGTGTACTGTATAGATGCATAGGGAGTTGTAATTACCTCTGTCATCATTGATAGGAAGCAGAAAATACCTGCTGAATCCTTTTCTGTCATAAGGTAAAATTCAGTGTGGTTAGCACACAGGTCACAGATGGATGCCTTAGCTGAGGCTGGTAATTTACTGTTTCTAAAACCTAGGCTTGTGGGCTGGCCAGATAGCTCAGCAGACTAAAGCGCCTGCTTAGGCAGACACAGGGACTGGGGTTTGATCCCCGGCCCTGCCTGAGATGGCGAATGAGACTGGGCATGGTGGCATATGCCTATAATCCCGGGGCTTGGGAGGCTGAAGACAGGAGGCTATGAGTCTGATCTGTGTAGTGAGACCCTATAGACCCTGTACTAAATACATTAAAAAAAAAAAAAAAAATCAAAACCAGGCTTGGAGGGCTGGGGATATAGTTAAGTGGCTTACACCTAGCAAATGCAAGTTTCCAAGTTCAATCACAGGTACTACCAAAAAAATAAAAGATAAAAACCAGGCTTGCCAGAGAGATTCCTCAGTGGCATAAAGGCCTGCCTGACAAGTGCAAGGTCCTGAGTTTGATGCCCAGTAAAAAATAAATTTTTAAAAGATTATTTGGTACAGGGTCTCACTATGCAGCTTGGACTCATAGTGAACCTCCTGTCTCAGCCTCCCCAGCACTGCGATTACAGGCATGTGCCACTATGCCTGGTTTTGGTGGCTGGCATAGTATGCCTGGGGTTCTAGGGCCAGCACTACGTGAAGTACTGCGGATCGAACCCAAGTCCTTGCACTTGCCAGGCAAACATTTATATTACTGAGCTATCTTCCCAGTCCCTCAAAATAAATAAATAAACCTGGCTCTAAGATTCAGTTCCTTCAAACTGGGACCTTGTTATGTCAGTGAAGGATATCTGTATGCAGCTTTTGAGGGAAATTAAGAAATTAAGTTATCTATCCTGATTATACTTCTATCTTAAGCTATCTGATGGATTCATTTTCTTCACAAGAACTAAGACCCATTGCAGAGACTGGGCATGGTGGTACGTGCCTGTAATCCCAGCTCTTGGGAAGCTGTAAACAGCTGGATCACTGTGAGTCTGATCTAGTAGTGAGACTCTGAACACCCTGTAGACCCTTCCCTAAAATACAAAAAAAAAAAAAAAAAAAAAAAAGACCCACTGCACTTTAGGACTGTCACTGACTTAAATGTCATAGTGGTCATATCAAAACTGTAAGCAGAGAGCATGTATGTATCTGGTCCAGATTTTCACTAGAAGCCCAGAGGAAGCTGGCTCATGGCTGGGATTCACAGCAGGGCTAACCTGTAGTTGAGTGGGCCCCCCTGGACCTTGCTCTGCTCTCAGTGCTCTGCTTTTCTTCCAGGCTACGTGAGGACAGGCTCTGTCTTTCTGGCCCAAACACAAGACCGGCTCATCTCCCTGAAGCGCATCAACTCAAGGCTGAAGTATGTAAGGGCTGGATAGCCTGTCCTCACTTTATCAAAGTGACTTCTGCTAAAGGGCCCATGCATGTCATTGTCCCCTGTGTTCTGTGGCAGTGTTATAGGGATCCCTTCTGAGATCATCTCCCCCAAGAAAGTGGCCGAACTGCACCCTTTCCTCAACATGCACGACCTGGTGGGGGCCATGCACGTTCCTGAGGATGCGGTGGTGTCCTCCGCCGATGTGGCCCTGGCCCTGGCAAGTGCCGCTTCCCAGAATGGTGAGCAGGCCTTTGCATTTTCCTAACATGGGTTTGGAAGGAAGAGGTCATTTAAGAAAGTTGGCAGTGGGGCTGGTGAGATGGCTCAGTGGGCTAAATCACCTACTTAGAACAAGCTAAGCTAAGCAAAACACAGGGACCACGGTTCAATCCCCCAGCACCACATGCCAGACAGCCCCGCCCCCTGGTGGGCTGAGCTGGCCACACACACAAAATGAATGAATGAATAAATAAATAAATAATTTAAAAAAAAATTAAAAAAAAAAAAGTTGGCAGTACACAGAAGTTGAAGAAAATATCTTCATTGGGGTATTCAAATTCCTGCTTTTGAACACTGGTTCTCACTTTTTTTTTTTTTTTTTTTAATTTTAATGTATTTAGTACAGGGTCTACAGGGTCTCACTGCACAGATCAGACTCATAGTGATCCTCCTGTTTTTAGCCTCCCAAATGCTGGGATTACCAGCATGCACCACCATGCCCAGTCTCATTAGCTGTCTCAGCGCACCCTGGGGGTGGGGTTGACATGGCTCAATTTTTAAATATAGTATCTGTTAATGAGCATTTTTCCTTTGGCCACACTTTTTAAGAACTGCTTTTCATGCTAATTAATGCATCTCAGATTTAAGGGAATTCCCTATCTCCTAATTTGGAGATGCTTCAAGGTTAAAACATACCTGGAGGCTGGGTAGATAGCTTGGCAGTCTAAGCGCCTGCCTGGCAGGCTCAAGAATCCAGGTTCAATCCCTGGTACTGCATGCTGTGCCAGCCCCAGAGCCCCAGGTGTGTAGTGCTGGCCACTGAAACCAGGCATGGTGGTGCATGTGCTGGGGAGGATGAGACAGGAGGATCACTTTGAGTCCAAGCTGTGTAGCGAGACCCTCTACCAAATAAATAAATAAAATAAAATAAAACATAGCTGGAAATTGTGCCTCAGAGTTGGAATGAATGAAGAGAAACTTATTAGTGACCAGGGGGTTGCATATTTTGGATAAACTGATTCATGATGTAAACAGGTTAGGTGTAAAAACCTGTTTGAGGGCCAGGGAGATGGCTCAGTGGAATAACCACTTCCCTGGCAAGTGCAGGGGCCTGAGTTCAATCCCTGGTCCTGCCAAAAAAAAAAAAACAAACAAACAAACCTGTTTGAACTTCCTTCCTCTGTTCTGTATTTGAGAACACCCAGAATTTACTCTGTATTCAAGTGTGTTCTTCTATTTTCAGTCTTGGCCAACACATGGTTATACCACATCAGAACCTAATACCTGGGGGTTCTGTTTTTGAAATTAAAACAGTAACCTACTTCAGTGTTTCTCTGGGGAGAGTGCGCTGTGGATGTCTTTGTTCTGGTCAGCCCATGATGTACCAGCTCTCTTTACCTTGGCACAGGTGTTCAGATTTATGACCGAACAAGTGTTCTTCATGTAATGGTCAAAAAAGGCCAAGTGACTGGTGTGGAGACAGATAAAGGACAGATTGAGTGCCGGTATTTTGTCAACTGCGCTGGTCAGGTAGGTTAACAGCAATGCTGGGTTGTTTCTTTTTCTATTTAACTTGGATTCTTTTGGTGTAGAGATTTTTTCTCCTGCCCCTCCTCGTCTCCCTCTCCTTCCCCTCCCCTTCCCTTCTCTCTCCTCTCACCACTCCTGACCTTCTGAATCTTTCTTTGGTTTTATAGTTTATTCTAAACCTTGCAGATAATGTACTAGGCTATTTTATTGTGTCAGTATCACATGTTCAGTTTCCAGTATACTAAACTGCTTCAATTTCTGGGGCAGACTGGTCCCTTTCCTCCACTCTGTAGTCTTAAGGTGACCTAGAATATAGTTTTTGCTATCTGAAGTTCTAATGCTCTAATTGAGAGCAGGTCATTTTATTTATTTATTTATTTATTTATTTATTTATTTATTTATTTATTTATTTGGCGGAACCAGGGATTGAACTCAGGCCCTTGCGCTGGCCAGGGAAGCGCTTATTCCACTGAGCCATCTCCCCAGCCGGGTCATTTATTAAAAGGGTCTCCTTTGAATGGCTTGTCAGTCTGTCATCCTTCAATTAAAGTCATTTTCAGGGTTTGAAGAATATAGTGGTGCTCTCCATCCAAATATTTGAACTAAGTAAAGCAGGCTGAATCTTGGTTTCTCACACTGCCACTGTAGCAAGAGCACACAGAAGCCACTTGAAGTTAATCTCTTTTTCAAGAGGCTGAACTCGTTCATTTGTGTTTCTGTTCCTCTTCCCACCCCCAATCAATCTGTCCATTTGTAGTGGGCATACGAGCTGGGTCTGTCCAACGAGGAGCCGGTTAGTATCCCGTTACATGCCTGCGAACACTTCTACCTTCTGACTCGCCCCTTGGAGACCCCTCTGCAGAACAACACACCAAGTGAGGACTTGTACTTTTTACAATCTATCTCCTTTTAGTATCCTGTCCTCTGAAAAGGAAGACTTTCCACTAAGGACAGATTGTGCCTAAGAGTCTTTTCTGGAGCATGTTACAGGGAGGTGAACCCAGTTCTAACATTTGATAACACTATGAAAGGATGGCACACACAGGCATGCCACTAAGCAGTTTTTGCTTTTGCTTGTTGCCAGCTTAATTTTACTTCCAAACAAGTCATTGAGATTATTTGGGATGTAACTTTGGGTTTTTAATTGGAATGCTATCAGGTGTAGTAATGTTGGTGGTAAATCATAAACTTGGGCATTTGAGTGGCTCCCAGTGCTGAGGAAAAGGCTGTGATGTCATGTGAAAGGTCTCTGCAGTCCCACTGCCCATGAGACTCGCTTGGCACAGTGGCAGTCCTGTGGTTCAAGAGGGAGGGCTTGGTAAAACGCCTAGTTCCCTGTAAGGGCAGGGGCAGTCGGAGAACCCACGTCCTCTGTACATCTGCGTGGGACGATCCTCCCTGGACCTCCAGAGGTGTGCGCCAGCTAACAGATGCCTGTGTGGTTTGGATGCCATTTCATTAGGAAAGCTTTTGGGGGTGTTATATTTTGTTTCTGAACATTTAGAAAGCTGGTTGCCACTAAATCCTTGTTTTTCTCTTGTGCCCCTATTCCCTTGTCCTTTCTTACTCTCAGCTATCGTGGACCCTGATGGAAGAATTTATATTCGGAACTGGCAGGGTGGCATCTTGTCTGGGGGCTTTGAGAAGAACCCGAAACCTATTTTTACTGAGGGCAAGAACCAGCTGGAAATTCAAAATCTACAGGAAGACTGGGATCATTTTGGTATGTGGAGTACATTGTAACAGGAGGTCAGCTGGGCATGGTGAGTTCAAGGCCAACCTGAATTGTATAGTAATAACCTGTCTCAACAAAAATAAGTGAATTTTTTTTTTTTTTTAAATGCCTTGTGGGGCCAGGGAGATGACTCAGTGGAATAAGTACTTCCTTGGCAAGCACAAGGGTCTGAGTTCAAGCGCAAGGGTCTGAGTTCAATCCCCAGTTCCTCCAAACAAAAAAAAAAGCCTTGTATTTGTTAAGGTTTTATGTTTTTCAAAGCATTTTCAAGGTTTTTTTTTTTTTTTTTTTTTTTCTTTTTTGAGACAAGGTTTCACTATGCAATTGAGGCTGGCCTTGAGCTCACTTCCATAGCCCAGGCTGGCCTTGTGGTCCTCCTGCTTCAGCCTCCTGGTGCCTCCATGCCCAGCTTTCTGTTTTATACTGGAGATTTGAATTGAAGGCCTTTACACTGAGCTACATTCTCATCTGTTCGTTCATTTAAGTCATTTATGTGAGACAGCATGTAGGTAAATTGCCCAGGTGGGGCTTCAACTTGGGATTCCCCCGCCTCACCCTTCCACAGTGCTAGGATTATGGGTATATCACTATACCTGGCTGAAAACACTTTTCATTAAAGCTCTTTAGGTGCCATGTAAGAACCTTCCCATTCCTGCTGAGTCCTTTGAGAGTACTGTTTCTACCCCATGTAGTATTTGCAACCCTATACTGCCTTTTTTTTTTTTTTTAA